CTCTCCAACAGCCTAACTGCAACATAGCGAGTGGCCTGGTCCATGACGGTCAGCACACATCGACGGCCACCCTCCAAATCAATCCAAGCACTATCTGCCATGAGCCTGTCGCCGAAGTTCCGGGCCATGAGACCAGCAGCTGGAGGAACACCAGGTGGTCGGCGACGACTGTAGCATGTGGGGCATACGTATCCCTTCGCCGCCTCGATAACATTGGCTGTAGCCTGGACCTCCTCGAGCATGCGAACCAACACATCAGCACTAGGATGACCCAGGTTCTTGTGGAGGCGAGTCACATAGTTCATGGCCTGGCTGCCCACTTTCGAACGAAGATCCCGGTTCTTTCGGCTCACATCCTCGGTGTTGTCTGTTGGTTCCTCGTCCCGGTTCTTTCGGCTCACATCCTTGGTGTTGTCTGCTGGTTCCTTGTCCTGGCTCTCGAGCTCGTCGTTCACGGGCTCCGGCGAGGTTGCATATACTGCATCGGTGCTCTCCTTCTGCAACAGCAGGCTAGCCAGGGTCTCAGCAAGCTCCGGCGGGTAGTCATAGGACGTCTGCTCCTGGTTGTCCGCGGCATTGGTGTGGTGGTGCTTTCCAGAACACCGCTTCTCCAAACGAAGTGCCAAGGTTCGCTTGGTGGTAAAGAAGCAAGTCGCCCTCCTTATTGGCCTGTGTTCGCTCTTGTTGCCGGGGAGAGAAAGGCCGTACTCACACTGGTCCACGTAGGTGCTGTGACCCTGGAGTCGGGCAAAGGCCTTGGTCATCCATGCCCTTGAGTTCCAGGCCTGCTCAATGTGAGCATGGCGCCCCGCACGGCGCTGAGTCTCGAAGATCACCGCGGCAAACACAAGGATGTTGTCGTGGTTGTCCTGTCGAAGACGGCGAAGCTCTGGTGCACGGCCTGGGTCAGTAGCCACACTCAGGTCCACCGCAGGGCTCCATATCCGCCCAGACGGAGCAATCATCACCTCATCGGGCTGTTCCTCCTGAAGCTTAGCCAAGAAACGTTTTCGCACCTTTGGCTGGGAAAAGTTCCAGCCGGTCTCCTTGGAGAAGTTCTGGACCTTGCCGCCCTGCTTACAAATCGCATCCTCGAGGCGGCCTTTTCCAGTGAACACCTGCCAGACCACATGATGGCTATCATCGCCCACTCTGCTTGCTTGGGAGAGGAGGCTCTTGTGCTTCTTGTTCGCGGCTTGGGCCATCATGATAAGTCCGCGCAGGCGTCCCTTGCTCAAAGCCTTCACCTTGTCACCGGTGAGAGTCACGGTCTCCTTGTCATGGTGCGTTGCCGTGGTGTCGTTGTGCTTGTTCGCCTTGTCGTGGGTGACGGTCACGGTCTCCTTGTCGTGGTGCGCCGCAGTGGTGTCGTCGTGCTTGTTCGTCTTGTCGTCGGTGAAGGTCACGGTCTCCTTGTCGTGGTGCGTCGCAGTGGTGTCGTTTGTCCTTGTCCACTTGGTCGCGTCGTTGGTGTCCCCATGGGGCACCCGAGTGTTGGGGTCGTGCGCAGAGGTCGGGGTGTCGGCCGTGACGTTCTTGCTGTCATTGGGCTCGGTCTCGTGCAAAGGGTCCCCCGTCTCGTCGTGGTGGTGCTTCACAAGGCTCACCTCCTCATAGGCAAGGGCGGGCTCGGACAGTTCAAGGATCTCCTCCAGGGCGATGGGGTCGTGAGTCCCCACGTGGTTCTCGTAGTCGTCGGGCACAAGGATCTCGTCGAAGGAGCTGTTGTCGAGCAGGCGGGTCACGTCCTCGGAGAGTATAAGTTGGTGTTCTCCTCGTGGTCCAAGGGGAATGTCCTGCCACTGGCCATTCTTCACCTTCATCTACAACCACCCCAAGCTGTTTCAGCAAAGGACGGCCGAAGAGCAAAGGCGCGTTGCCCTCGATGACATAGGTCAGGATCTGCAGCTTCCGGCCCTCCAAGGTAAGAGGAAGCAGAAGACAGTGTCGAGAACCTCCGGTGGCAGAGTTGCCGAAGCGAAAGCCCTTGGAGCACCTGAAGCAGGGTATGGCTGACAGGTCCACGCCCTTCTCGAGGAGGTACCGCAGGTAGCTCCGGATTGCCGTGGCACTGCCAAGAACACTTGCTGCGCCACCGTCCTGCATCGCCCGGTTGTTCGTCTCCTCCTCGAGGTCCTCGTCGTTCAGGCTGTAGGTCTCGGCAACCATCATCACCTCATCGTCTCCACCATCAATTTTCCTCTTCTTGTCGGCACCGGCCTGCGGGCAATTTCGTGCCCAATGCCCGGCCTGGCCGCAGCGAAGACAGATTTGCCTTCCCACCGCCTGTTGGCCACGGGCTTTGGCGGTCGATCCCTTTGGCGACAGAGGTCCTTGTTTGCCACCAGCGCCTTTGCCACGCCCTTTGTCGCGTCGAGCTTTGCCTCGGCCTTTTCCAGCGCCTCCTTGTCGAACAGCGTTGTTGCCACCGCGGTCCACCAAGGCCACCACAGGGTAGAAGCCCCGGCTCACGCGAAGGTTGTTCAGCTTGCTGTTTGCGTCCGTATAGGAGGCGTAGATCTCGTCGAACTCGTCCACGTCGAACACGTCGTCGGTCTGGGGCCCCGGGTCGTAATCGTAGTAGTCCTCGCCCTCATCTGGCCAAGGTTGGCTGTAGT